GAATTCAGCATAGGCAATGGACGAGAGTGCTTTGTTGTGTTTGCTTTTGGTTCTTGTTAGCTCGGGTCTTCGTTCTTTTGGTGTAGCCTTCACACGCACTCTTCGCGCCTGCTGGAGAATTCCTTGAATTTACTGATTTCCGAATTTGTAGCCATGTAGCATGTTGGAATTTGCAGTTGTGCGTGTGCAGCCGAGTAAAAGCATGTGCCGCCGCGAGCTTGCCAGCGCATAGGGGATGATGCGATGTTTGGAAGACGATGTAGGTGATACCTTTGACCCTCGGGACCAGCATTTTCTGCCCAACACTTGGTATCCACTGCCCGTCCTAGCACTGCTTCCTGTTCCTGTCTCTAGCCTGAGCCTTGGCTGCTTGGGGGCCGCTGGGCTCGATTACATGATCGACGAGGCGCGTACTTTGGGCAGGGTTTTCAGGGTTTTCTTTGGGTTCTTGGACGTGATGCTTGTGACGAGGGCCTTTTGGGGTACTTCTGGGTAGCCGCTTCTGCCACATAAAGATACTAGGACGCATGCTGCTTCAAGCATCCCCCTCCTGCCAGCTCTAACGCCGCATGCTTGCGCAGCTCCTTTGGCTGACGCGCCCAGTAAACTGAAGGCTACAGCTAGACTCCCGTGCTGAGGCGCCATGTCTGTTGCCTTGTACCAGGCTCAACACCGCTTTCCCGAGGGAGGCGAGGATGGGCCGGATCTCACCGGAGTATGGTGCATGCTCCTCACGGGTCTGATGGGAGCCTTGTTGGCTGGTCTCTTCTTCCTTGGCCACTACTGGGGGTGGGCCCTTTTCCCCTGCATGCGACGTGCGGGGGTCCAGCAACGTTTGGACGATTTGGTCCGGGCCGTGCAACAACTGCAAGCGCTGGTTCATGCTGAAGGCTATGCCACCCGCAGTGCTGGCGCGGACGCCCTTCAACGGGCCATGGGCCTGCTTGACGTGGACGATTCCCTGACTCGCATGCTCAATGATGGATTCGAGGACGGCCGCAATCGTCTGCAAGCCATCATGAACAAAGTCATGAAAGTTGGCGAGGTGGCCAACACAATCCATGCCATGCACGCGAATTTGGGGAATACCCTTGCAAGCCACCAGCTGGAGCTTCAGAGAACCATCCAGCGTGCCAAGGACGACCTCAAGCAAGCCTTTTCCTCTGCTGGGTCGAAACTGGCGGGCAGTGAACACAAAAGCATCACAGATGCTCTCAGTGCCATCTCGGCTGCCCTCGAGGAGGCCAAGCTCAACACCTCTACAGCTTTGGATGCGGTGGCCAAGAAGATGGTGAAGGACTATGCGGACCTTCAACGATTCCTCACTCCGCTACAACGAAACCAAGAGAGTTTCTCCACGGGCATGAACGGGAGGTTCGAGCAGCTCCAGAAAGACCTCTCAGGCATCTCCTACGCCTTGAGCAAGCAGATCAAGGAGCTCAGTGGACAAGTGCGATGGGCTCAGCAATCCCTGGATAGAATTCAGGGGGACAGCGAACACTTGCCAGATAAACTCAATTTTCTGAGGGGGCTTCTTGAGGCGGTCAAGGAACAGCTGGAAGTCCTTCAGAAGGAGATCGAAGCTATGAATGCGGAGCCAACGGCACGCTCTCCCACTGCAGACCCGGCCACAGCTTCAGGACCAGGACCCGCCGCCCCACCGCCTCCGGCTCCGGCGGCAGCGACTGCGGGTGGACCAGGGCCCACGATGCTGAACCTGGACGAGTCCCTCCCAATGGTGAGCCGCCAAGGGCAGGGATATTTGTGCCCGATCACGCTCCCGGATGGGAAGGTCATTTTCATCCCGAGGTCGGTTCTTGCACAGATGCTAGGAGCACATGTATTGTAAATGTCTCGCTGCTCTTGAGGGCCTGGAGATCCTTTCTATGTTGCACTGTTTTGCTACTTCTTTGTGGCCTCTATGTTCCTGTTTTCCATGTGTCGATGGCCCCTCAGCAGCACATCCGACGACTGTGATGATGCATGCTCGTACAGTAGGAGGCGAGAGCGATGTTTTTCATGCGCCTGGCCCCTGAATTTCATGCAAACTGCAAGTGTCGTGAAGACCCGAATTTGGTGCATCGAATTTTCAGCATGCCTGCATTGAATTCAAGAATATGAATTTAAGCCTGCGAATTTGGGAATGATCATAGGTCGTCTTTTGCAACAGTACCGAGCATCCACAGCCAAGCAGAAGAAATGCCGCTTCGAGTGTCTTCTTGGACGACCCCACACAAACCCACAACCACCCCTCTCCCTTTGCCCTCTCCCCCCTTTCCCCCCCCCCCCCCCCCCCCCCCCCCCCGCTCCCTTCCTCCCTAGGTCATGGAGTCTTGTTACACCATAGCCCCAGCGTCTTGTTGCAGCGTACATAGCCATACCCTCCCCTCTAGTGTCAATACATGCCTGCACTGTCATATGCCCTGCTGTTCCTTAGCTCCAAGCCAAGCGTCTTGTCGTTTCTGAGTGGCATTGTTGCCGAACCAGAAGCGAGCCCACTGCTACTCCCGTTGCCCTACAAACACACTGAAGCCTGACAGGATCTTCATGCTCCGCATCACCACCGCGATCGGGGGACGGGCACAAACAGGGCAGTGCTGCCGGGAACCACGCCAAAGCAGGGGTTTGGAGGGTCTTTCCGGCCCCGTCATTCCCGCGTTCTCGTTCGTGTTGTGGGTTCTCCTCCAACCCTCCCTATTCGGGGTCTAGGTAGCCCTAGCCCGCGGCGCTTCTGCCATGGCTCACAACTGCCAGTTTTCTGCTCGCACCTCTGGGTCCTGGCTGGCTTGTGATGGCAGACGATGCCACGCTCTAAATGCTGTTTCGGCCCCTGGCGCGACGACTAGACGACTGCTCTGACCACTGGGACTGCTTTGATGCCACTCATTATTGTGTGTCTCCTTGGATTCCCCACGGAGAGACCAATGATGGGCTGTTCTGGTTATGCTGCCCCTGATGTATGTCCCATAGCTGACACCGCGGACGCAAAACGTATTCTTGGGAGATGCCCGGCCGAGATGATGGAGTCTGTTATGCTGCACTGATGTATGTCTGGCAGCCGAATACATGCTCCACTGAACGCGAGTCTGGAAGCACAGAGCCTTCGTTGTGCATGCATGGAATTTGGGCTATGCTTTCTGCATACCACGGCTTACACCAAACTGACTGCAGCAATCTGGGTGATGCATTGAATTTGGATGCATACGATACAGCGTGAAGGGCCTCTGCCCTGTGGTGTCTACTGACTGGAGTGCCGATGCTGGGCCGTTTTTCCTTGCATCGCTGTCGAGCCTACAACCAGAGGAACGTACCAGTCTGGACGCTTAGACGTACAACGCGCATGAACGGAATTTGAGAATTTGAATGCATGTGCAACTGCATGAAGCTGTCGAGCCCTCATCAGCAAGTGGCAACGGTCTGGACATTTGGGCGTCCAACGAGCATGAATGGATTGGGAATTTGTGTGCATGTGTTGCTGCATGTATGGCATTTTGCCAGTGGGGCCAACTGGACTGAGGATGCCGTGATTTCTGTGTTGATGAGTTCACAGTTTGAGGATGATGCGAATAGCTGCAGGATGCAGGTTGAGGTTGATCGTAGCGCGGATAATGTTTGCTGTCGTCAATGTATGATGGCTTGGGCCACATGTGCCTGTCGTGGGACCAGGGAACCTCGCCAAGGCTTGTCCGAGTGTGAGTGCTGAAATGTGTCTGAACGCACGCCACGAGCGCCGTTCTCCGAGAAAGCCAGTGACAATCCCAAGAGCCCGAGGCAGCAAAACCTCGCAGGAGCTGACTTCTTTGAGACCGGAACACCGAAAAACGGCCAGCCGCTGAAACAACGAAAACGCCGAATATCCAAATTCCAGGAAAAGCGGTGAATTTTTGAAGACCTCGAAACGGTGAAAACCCCCCATACCGAGTCCAACAGCAGTAGTAGTAGTAGTAGTAGTAGTAGTAGTAGTAGTAGTAGTAGTAGGAAGAGGATTCAATCTAGCCACCAGTCAGAGTCTTCCGACAGGAACTAACAATGCGCTCCCGCAGGACGTTGTTTAGCTTGCGAATCTGCAAATGCAAGCTGTCAAAAAGTACATTACGCGAGCAAGGTACCAAAACGCTTCCATTTGTTCCTGAACGGTCCGTCGTCACAACTACTGAGCCACTGCCACCTTGACAGGAAGTGTTTCTTCGCAAGCAAAGAGCCAAAGCTTCCAGATAGTCAGTCCTGAGGATGGCATTGGCAGTGAAGACACTGTCGCGCCGAATCCCATCAGCCCGACACATCGACGCCTGGCGTAGCGCCATGGGCAGATATGCATCTCTTTGGCTAAAGACTCTACTGCAGATAAATCTCCTATCATCTCTGTGGGTGCTGCAGTCCGTGCATCGACGCTGCAGCAGAAGCTTCTCATCCGGGACCTGTTGCAAGAATCTTTCTTGACATACTGGAGCAATCAGAAGCAGTCTCCTCATCTCGCGTGTGTTGCAAGCCTTTTGCCCTATTGAGGCATTGCTGGCTGCTTTTGTTGTCGTGTCACTTCGACCCTGCCATGTCGCAAGCCAGTCTTCCTCGGGTGCTGCCCACAGAGTCCTAGCATCTCGGGCACGATGCATGCGATCTTTCGGGGGGGGGGGGGGGGGGGGGGGGGGGGGGCGGGGGGGGCTTTTCAACACGAAGGCACCAATATGCAGGAACGGCCGAGCTCAAATTGCTAGCCCAGCCAGGTCGCAATGTAGCCCAAGCACAAACAATTGGAATTACGACAGATTCTGCTCAGATCCAGCCTTGCCATGTTCTAAGCAGGTGGAAGATACGGTAGCAGCACTTCCTCTTCAAGACAACTTTTTGAAACTGTGGTTCTTCTCTCGCTGTCCCGCCAAAAATAGACAAAGCTGCGAGTCTAGCAGCAGCAGCAACTGCTGCAGCTTCCATCATCTAGCGCCAATACTTCACGAGCGAAGCCGATACACCTGCAGCCACGACTGCTTCGTCTGTCTCAGGACGTGATTGGACAGCTCGCGGAGATTATCTGCCACCATCCAGCCCCACAGAAGGTGACAGACTGAGTTTTGAGCAGCAGATACGTAGATTGCCACTTCTACTCTCGCAGAAGTTAAGCATGCCGCAGACCGAGTAGGCTAGCTGAGACTGCAATCGAAGTACCCCTTCTGAGGTGCGAAGTCAAAGTACCTGTACAAGCAGGTTCGCGGCAGCAAAAGAAGCTTTGCCGCTTGACAAGGGTCTCATTCCCCAACATTGCAAAGGTCGATTGCTCGAAGCTGAGACACGTCTCTTATTGTGGCAAGCTCGAGACTCAGTCACCGGTTCACAGTGCAATGGCCCAGAATGTCCACCCTGAACGGACATCTCATTGAACTTGCTTGCCTTGCAGAGCACTTGTTGAGTGGACAGGTCCAGCCAAACTGGCTGTGCGAACACCTATGAGATCAACAGTGGAGTTGGCTACACCTGCCTTTGGGAAGCTCGGCGCGCAGGTGATGGCACAGCGGAGCTATCCTGACACGGCGCGAGGACAAGTGCACAAGCAACCTGTTGAATGGACCGAGGACAAGGAAATTTGGCCTCCTGCGTCTTGGCAGTTCAGCGGTATCAGCTTTCGGTAAGGCCCAAGGAAATGCATGTATCCTCCAAATAAATGCATGTTTGCCTTGAATACAGGCCCACCGCTTCCCATGCAAATGCGGTGTGGGAATCTGCAACTCAGGCCTGCATTGCTTATCGGGAGAAGGCGAGAAGTCCTATTTGCATTGAAGGCTCGCGCCGTCCAGCTCCGGATGTTTGAGACACCCCTTACAAACTGATGTGCCATGTGCCTAGGATACAACAAGTGGAGCGTAGCCCTACGCAGCCCTCATGCAGTCCGCAAGTCCAGTTGAGTTGCTCCAGAAAAGGTCGAAATTACGACGTTGCAGCTGCAAGTAGATGCAGCGGACATGGTCCGAGAAGGTTAAGGGTTGACTTTTCTATGCACTCCCATCGAATCCTTGATTTCAAAGGTTCTCGGAGTCCCTTTGTAAAAGCCCCCTTTGCTTTGCAGGCACCTGCGGCCCTGGCACTCGCGGAGCTCCTGATAAGTGCTGGTAGGGTTTCGTGATAGTCTCCAGTTGCTGTTGCAACAAGATACAATGCTGGGGCATCTACTTGACACTCCACGGAGGCTCAGACACGACATTGGCCCGACTGCCGAATGATAGCTCACGATTTCGGAGAAAGTCGAGTATTGCTGTTAGGAGATGTGCGTGTGTGTGTGTGTGTGTATATATGTATGTATGTATGTATATTTATGTGTATGTATATATATATATATATGTGTGTGTGTGTGTGGGTGGGCTAGGTGGGGGGGTGCAACAATCCAGGGGTTCAGACTATGTAGATGAAATGTACATGTCCCATGATGTGGAGTCTGGGGCGGCGTTTTCGAAGCTCCACAGGTGCTTCAAGACTATACTGTTTCAAGTGAACTCTGGCTGACAGGTGATTTCTCGCATGTATTCTGGGTTTTACGTCGCGCTGCACACCTTCGTGGTTTATAACGGACGCGTAGATTTCAGGTTCTTGCATCAATTCTATCCAGCCTCCGGTCTCCATCGGCCCAAATGCCAGCAACAGCCCGGCAAAGCCATTCCATGTTTCACATATGCATGGCAGAAGCACTGTTCAAAAGACTGGCGGTGCACGTGTCGTCTCTCCAGATCTCGATTCCATCATAAGGTTCTCAAATACACGCTTGCCAAGCTGTTGCCAGATCCGTTGGGCGCTGCAGTGAGCTCCGATAAAGACGAATTGCACATGTAATTCTACATAACCATGTATACATACATATATGTATGCACATATATTCAAATGATTACGTACATACAATGTATATACATGTGTATATATACACATACAGATAGAAGTAGAGGTAGAACTAGAGATGTAGATATAAAAACACAATGCATATCTGTCTGTTTGTCTGCATGCAAATGTTGCTTTGCATGTAATGGACGTAGCTACGTATGTACACATGCATGTATGTACATGCAGAGGACGCAGGTCTGATCAAGGTTTGGTTGAGCGCATGTTTCGTTTGTGGGACACCGGGTTGCTCGTGTGGGCCACCTGCTGTCTTGAAGACGGCGAGCGACTTGAGCTCGTCTTGCATGATACAACGAAAACAGCTCTTGCCACATGCTAGGCCCCGGCGACAGGTCTTGCATGGTGCTGTGTTGTGATCGTATTCGGAGGTAGACGTTTTGGGGTGAAAAGCTAGTAGCTGTTGGAACTGTTGGCATGCAGCTAAGTTGATTTGTGTGCTCTTGTTGCTGCTTTGATTTTGTGCGCTTTCGGACTTAAGGTTCTTCCGAGGAACCAGAAGCAGCACTTGGCGACCGCATCTACGACAGACGACGTGCTGTCCTGTCGGAATCGTGTACAACGTGATACTGCAAGAGTGTTTACTCATCCTATGGCAAGCAAGCCAAGCCCAGACCCAACCAAGTTTTCTCCACAGCAGCCAACTACGTCGAACGGAACGTCCCCCACTCCAGCTGAAAGCGAGCTAAACCCGACCCATTGTGGGGTTTTGCCTTGTGTTGTGTCCAAACATCCCAACGAGAACATGCAAACAGACAACGTGCTGTCGTCGTGTGTTCATCTAGAGTAATGCAAAGTCACGTGGAAACCTGCCGCATTACCTGTTGTTGTCGGATAGTACTGTCGCCGTCCAAATCCAAGCTGGTCTAACATATATGATTGTGCGCTGTGCATTCGGGCCCAAGCTTGCCTTCCCCCCAACCTGCTCAACAGAAGGGAAGTAATGCCCAAGCCATTCCGCACAGCTACCAGGAAGGGATGACTGTATGATATGTATTGGAGAGGCCCGCCGTGCGCAACCAGATATACAGTCAGGCAGCGTCGCATCTGTTGCAACCATCAGGAAAGCAATGCGTAGGCGTAGGGGGCCATACACGGCACTCGCATTCGCGTCCGCATGTCCAGGGGCAGACATGAGACTGTCAAGCCTTGTATATGCATGTTTGCATGATGCAGCTAGATTCAATATGGGAATATGGTGTACACACTAAACCTTTAGGCCAGTATACTCGTACTCACGAGCTCGCATTCCGGATAAATGCAGCCACATAGCCCTGAAGATCGGAGCGAAACGTTCTACTGCGCATAGTCGGGGAGCCTGTGCAAAGCCAGATCTGGCGAACTCCCGTTTCAAGTTTCAAGCACTTGCTCTAGAGTCTAGAGACATCCGCTGTGAAAGCCAGAAGCCGTAGTGCTTTCTCATATCCACAGTGTTTGTTGTTTTCATCCCTGCGCACAGCATCATCCCAAGGCATACTGCAATCATGCTGAGGAATGGATTGGGTCGGTAATCGTGGCACTGGATACAAGTCGATAGGTAGGTAGACCCTCAGTCCTCGACCATTGACCATATGAAGGCAACGCTGCAAAAGTTTGGCTCAAGTACCTGACGATCCACTGAGACAGCACCGCTTCTTCTGAGGTGGGACAGAGCTAGTTGTCTCGTGGACTTGGGCTTTGTCACGACCTGGTGCACCTATGAAGTCAGGGCGTGGGAGAAGGATCGGGCTCGGCTCCGCAGAAGAGACGCGGACTCGTTTCGAGATGCACCCGTGCATGAACAAACCGTAGCCGTGACAGGTCAGAGATGTTGCACCTTGCAGCTGTCCTGTGGTCGTTGGTCTTTGTCCTGCCCCAGCAGGCCGATTGGGAAGCCTATTTCTGTGTTGCGATGAAACGTTCAAGCGGTAAACCATGCCAACGTGCTTCTGGGGATCTGTCAGCCTGTTCTGGCAGGCCAACGCAGGCTTTCTTCATACGTTCAAGAAGGCCAGCTTGGCCACCGAGCAGGCACCTTGCGATTCCTGCGCAACAGCAGATCTGCCACTTGACTGAGCCGTGTCGGGTCGACGAGGTTTTAGGCCGCTTTAGGGCTTGGACTGGGCTGCAGCGGCATTCGGACTTGCAAGGAATGCCTCTTCTCGTTCCTGTATCCTGAAGTGGACTGGCGAAGGGCATCCAACTACATGCAGCCGAGGCAAGACCCTGCCGATTTCGATCAGTGCAACTTCTGGGGCGATCCACACTACACGGCCGCTTCGCCGGCACATTCGGCTGCCCCTGACATGAATGCGCCCGGTCTTTTCGAATTGTCCTTCGAATTTCGTGAACTCAGACCTGAAGTTATGAGGTCGACCGGAGAGAATTTCACAAAACAGTTGAAAGGCTGCGTAGCATGCGGTGCCCTGTGTTAGACAGGTGCACGGCCTTGCAGAGTCGTAATTGCCTTGTGCTCAGCCCCGAGAGCCAGATTCCGTGCCTAGGAAACCTGGGGTGACCTTGGCCGCTTCGACTATCAAGGGCTGGGCGTCCATGACGTCGTGATCAACAATGTGACTTGCGACACCTTCCGCATGCCACTCTGCTTCCACCATAGTTGCCGCTGAGAGACCGAAGTCAGATTACCCAGGTCTTGATCCTTCGAGAATTACTAGCACATAAGTGTTCGCACTCCGCGTTCCTGGTCCTGAGCGCACCATACCCGCCCTAAAACCAACCCCTTCAAAGGCCCTTGAGATTTATTTAGAACCATATACGAGGTAGGAGCCTTGTCACTGTGTTCAAGCTTGGTGCAAGTCTTAGGCAGGCCTTTCACTGCCAGTACCGAACCTCTCGCGACTCGGCACTTGAAGGAGCATTGAGGACGTGAATCGCATGTATCGTTTGTTCACACACACACACACACACACACTCTCTCTCTCTCTCTCTCTCTCTCTCCCTCATGCGCGCTCGCTCTGTTCGGATGTCCGTTCTAATTACTGGGAGAAGATGTCTCACAACACGAAGAGCATCGCCAATCTCCTCCGTTGTACTTGTTCCGGAGCCTGGACACTGCTCGTGTAAGATCTTGAAGCAGTCCGAGCTCGAGCCCCCTGTGCGCCAAGCATTGAGGCAATGCAGTGGTTCTGGGCTTCGTCATCGAGCTGGGCGGCTCCGTCTCCGGCACTGCTCCTGGGAATGCTTTAAACGGCACTGGGCCGGCCTTGGCTACGCTGAAAGGGTCGTCCCCAAACAACCCGAACACCATCGCAGTCCCGGAAGCCCAGGTCTTCGTCAACGACACATTCGTGGAAGTGAGTGCTGGCTTGGAGAGTCTGGTGTCGCCCATAGGCCAGCCGACGGGTCAGATTCAAGTCAGGATTCGGCGCATGGCCTGCAGGGAAGAAAGCACATGGAGCAAGCAAGCATGGAATGGAATGATGTGGCATGCATGGCAACTCGGAATTGGAACCTGCCTGTCTACAGGTGAAATCTCTACCCAGCAGCTGCAGACGCTCGGTCCGGAAGAAGTCGAAGCCGAAAGTCCCATGTTGCCTTTGCAGCTTCGGCGGGGGCTTTGCTGCCGTGATTCTTGCTGGGTGGCAGTGGTATGTCAGCCATCCTGCATCCGATTGCACACCTAAGGCAGCCAGCTGCTTGCTCTAGTACTCTGAGTTGAGTCTGGGAGCCAGGTCGTGTCAGTATCCATTCTGATTCCAATGGACCTCTCAGTCCAGGCTAGGGGTTGAGAAAGTCATACGACTTGTATAGTGTCTTCGCTCCGCAAGGAACGGCGGAATCAATGTGCAGACCGGCGATCGCTGCAACTTCGCCCCTGTCCTAGAACATCGTGGGGCAATTTCGGAATCACCCCAGCACTGGGCTTGAGCTTGCAGCACGCTGTCCCTCCTCGGCCATGTACAGCAACGCATTTGTCCGTAAATTATACCTATAAATACTCGTGGCTGACAGGAAGCACGTGCACCTGCGGACTTTGAGTGGCTCGTGTCTCCTGAAGGTCAACATTAACGGGAAGCCCATCAACTTCAAGCCCGGATACCTGCTCAACGCCAAGGTGTGGGGACCACGGAAGCGGGGGGTGCCGATCCGTCAGTCGGCCTGTACTGCGCAAATCTGCTCGATGGATGGAGGTAGGTGTTTGTGTGTGTGTGTGTGTGTCGTTGATGATGAAGATGATAGTGATGATGATGACGATGGTGTGATGGTGACGGTGATGATGACGAGGATGAGAATGATGGATTTGAAGCATTTGTTCCTTTTCATCGACGGCTATTGAACATCGTCCAATGGCGTACTTTGCAGCGTGGAGACTACAGGTTATTGCGGACAGAAACAACATGCAACAACTTACTATGATCTCATAAGGAAATGTTTTCGTACCAGCACGTTCATAGCAATGACTTGGGTGGTGGTGGTGATGGTGGTGGTGGTGGTGGTGGTGGTGGTGGGGGTGGTGGCGGTGGTGGCGGTGGTGGCGGTGGTGGCGGTGGTGGCGGTGGTGGCGGTGGTGGCGGTGGTGGCGGTGGTGGCGGTGGTGGCGGTGGTGGCGGTGGTGGCGGTGGCGGTGGTGGTGGCGGTGGCTGTGGCGGTGGTGGTGGCGGTGGTGGTGGCGGTGGCGGTGGTGGTGGGGGCGGCGGTGGTGGCGGCGGCGGCGGTGGTGGTGGTGGGCGGCCGTGGTGGTGGCCCAACTACTCCTCGGGTGCCCGCAGAGAAAGCTGGGCTGGCTTCAGCTTCTTCCTCCTAATTCAAGAAGCGTGGCACGGCGGAGGTGTAAAGAAAAAATTCGTGCACACCTCCTATTGTTTATAGAGGATCGTGGTGGACATTCAGCAGCAGAAGTCGCATGTGTGCGAATGAGTAGCAGGTAGTTTGGTCGGAATCTCCGAGTACGTTTGAGAATTGAGGGCAGGTGGCTCAAGCTTCGATGCAGCTTGACGGGCCTGCCACAGCGTTGACGGCTCCGGTTCAAACAGGGACACACACTCCAGGGTCACCATCGAAAGTGATCATTGTTTTTGTTAGTTGGTTGTTGGCGTTGCTCTGCCTGGCGTTTCTATCAAGTCTCTGCTTATCGTGGCGTTTTTTTTGTGGCCTTGCAGCTTTCTGGTCTCTTCTCATCGCGACTGCGGCATTGACACGTTCTCCGAGTTTGCCCAGGTTTGCTGTTGTCATCTCTGTAATCGCTTGCAGAGCCGGGAATAGGTTTTTGTGTGTGATGGTTGCAGTCGGAACTGCGGTCTCCTTTTGATCGCCAGGTCAGATCACGCGTGGGCGTGACGCAGAATGCCGGCATTTGTGGCTCCCCACAGCTGTTCCCTACTTTTGTGAGCGCCACGCAGCAGCATTGAGAAGTTCGGCTACAGCTTCACGAAGGCTTTGTACCAGGCAGAACCTTAGGGCCATACTGTAAGATCCATCTTTGGTTGAATCCACCCGGTTGGCGACACCCAACATGTCGATTCAACTCTCTGATAAGAGTTTGGGACATGAACATGCGTGGTTGGTGCTACCTGCTCCACTCCTTAACCTCCCAGTCCTCTCCATGTGCCCGCACATGTGTGTATGTATGTTTGTCTGTATGTACGTGTGTACACGTATGTACATATGCACGTATCATGTGCACGTAAGCACGTATGTATGTATGTATGTATGTATGTATGTATGTATGTATGTGTGTATTTCATGTATGTATGTATGTATTTATTTATGTAGTGTATGCCTATCTGTAGGTATGTAGGAATTCAGGTGTAAGTATGTACATATGCAGGCATGTACATGTGCTCATATATGCATGTACACTTCATGCCGGAGTCGCATGCTGGATGCAAACGTGCAGGATGACTTCTGCTGGTCTCTGTGGCTCCAAGGACAACACCAGCTTCCTGTTCACGAGCGAGCAGATCGAGCAGATGTGTGAACAGTGCAGCAGCTCCTGAGTCGTTCTTTTATCAGGTTTTCCAGTTTTCTTCAGTGCCAAGCTCCGAAGGTTCAGCTCGAACGCCCCTCACGACAGCAGCTGTTGACGGCCTCTCAATCCGCCATGCCTGAACCCACAACTTCAGGGTTCGGCCTGTTCCCCACTCCCCTCCCTTCCTCGTGAATGAAGTCTTGCTCGGAGACCGGATCTGCGGCCTCTGTGTTCCCTTCCTCGTGAAGGCAGATGTGCTGTCTTTGGTTTCCCGGTGTGAGGTGGTATAGTCACCGCCTATCTTCTTGCCCCTGATGTGCGGGATGTGAAGGCCCTGTTCCTGAAAGTTTGCAGGTAATGATCACACGTTTATGAATCATCTGCGCGACCCAAGGTTTTGGCGGAGAAATCTCGCCCGCTTGTCCTGGTTTCGTGCCACCTCAACCACCGGGAATCACCAATGAGTTGACCGAGGACTCTTGGCCTCCTTGCGTTGGTTCGGTAGTCATGGCCATGTGCCCCAGGAATGTGTGTGGGCCGCAGATCCCATCGAAACGCAGAATGCCGGCCAAGGGCTGCTTGTCAGACTTGTTCAGGCCTTGCTTGTTGAGTGCATGACCAAGAATTTCCAGATCTGTCGCTTGTAGAACCGTCAGCTGAGATGCAGAGGAGTGATCTCGAAGCCGTCGAAGAATCGTGGCATAGAGATGACCTGCGAAAACGCGGCTGCAATCGAGGCTCGACATCGAGCAGTTCTGTGGGCCGGACACAACCATTGCGGCCGACTTCGGGAATCCCGGACCTAACCAATGCATCTTCCAAGTCGCGCCCTGGACCCTTCAGAACTTCAGCGCAGCGATGTATTTTCGGTCGGCCGGCTCTTGACATTGAGCAGCATTGTGCAACTAAGACCGGTGGCAGTGGTAACAGCTGCACTGAAGTTTGCGGACTCCTTGGCAGCACCTGCAGCAACATGCCGGGCCGCGTGGATTCCCAAAACACCAACTGCGCCACTTGCCGAACTCAAAGCTGCTGCAGGGGCAGGCGGCAGGCCACTGCTAGGAACCTTGTTCTGAAAACCTGAGGAGGAAGGCGGTAATGAGGGAACTGCCTCGTGCGACGACCAGAACTCGGGTATCACTACGTTCTCCTGTGCTTGCGACATTCCGGATATTCCCTTTCCGGGCGATAACATTAACGATGCCGAGGAGGTGGGCTGCGAATCCGTCAAGGGCGGGCTGTCAGATCACGTTCAGTCTGCCGCGGTCGGTTACGAGATTGGGACGGTGAGCCTGGGTAGATAAAAGGAGCTGTCTAGGGGCAATAGATAAATGTGGTTGCTGCGGCCGTGCCCAGAAAGAGTTCCCTCTGGAGGTCGCAAACAATGATGCGAACATCAGCTTCCAGGACGGGACGCTCGAAGCGTGTCACGACGCGTGTCACGATCTGCGCATAAGGAGTTCAAAGTTCAAAACTCATGCGGGGTCTACTGTATACTCGTACCGGGTGCCAGACAGAGCAAACAGGCATATCCCGAAGTCAACTTGTGTTTGCTCGCAGAGTTCCGGCCATGAGACCATCGAGAGATCGACAGCATCTGCAGCCTGCAGCCGACGTTTCCAAGCACGTGTCCGGACGAAGAAAGCCTTGTTTACACGGAACGGTACAGTTGCAATGTAGTTGACAGCCACATCGGTCATCGGATTACGCTCATCCAGGATGCGATCGGCAATTGTACGGTCGGGTGTTTGGCAAATTTGCGCCTCGGAAGCAGTACGTTGGCAGCAGATGGCTCTAGGCCTTGTGCAGAGAAGGGCCTCTACAGTTTGGAAGACAGACAAGTGCAGATGCGCATCATTGGCCAGGACCAAGCCTTAGGAGAGGATTTTAAGGAAACAGCATGACATTCTTCGGGTCCTGGTGGCACAGAGCGCGACTTCGTAACAGGAATCTCGGATAGAGCCTGATTGGAAATTGTTCAACGTTCCGACCCGAAGGCTGCCACTCGAGTTGTGACCAATGCAACAAAAAATGTCGAGTGCACCTTGATGGTTCGTTCGTGAATCTGGACTTGGAGATTTGCGTGTGCAGCCAGCTGCACGGTGATCCATGGCGACAGCAGCTGGAATGTGCACGCTCGGACGGCGTTCAATAAAGGCAGCATCCCTGGACCTTGACTAGAGGCCGTAGCTAAGGGCGAGCGAGCAGATACCACGCGGCCGTCGAAGTCGTGGTGATGTGAACATAGTCGCGCGCACGCGCTTTTGTGTAACATCCCTTGGCCTACAGCAACTGACAATCGAATCGTGGTGTCGAGACATTGCCGCAACTTTCGTGGTACTTCGCTGTGGGAAGCCGGCGCCGTCAATGCAAGCAGCTTTCGACAGATCAACAAGCCCACCAACATGAGCCAAAAGGTTGCTGGCATTTCTTGAACGGTGCAGCTTGCCAACAAGGTCCTGCCAGTGATTGCATATGATAGCTTTCGTCCGTCGCCGCCGATGGGAAGCTCCTGAGGATTCCTGAAACCGAAACGCTCTGCCATCCGATCCCACAGCTGGCCGAGCCTTAACGTCAAGTCGGATGTTGCCGGGGTGAGGGCTGCGTCCAAGTTCCACTCCATCGCGCCAAGGAGACCTAGTGCTCTTGGCGTGGGACCTGCAATATAAGCAGCCACTGGCTGCACCCTGTAGGACCACATGTAAGCGATTTCCCACGGAGCGAATGTGCCAAGAATTTTCTAGAAGGAACAGCCCGATTCTCCGGCTGCAGCACCCTCGAAAATCTCGGGAGCCACGTAAGATGGGTTACCGGCGCGAGCACGATCGCCGACGCGATGATTGAGCCAAACCGGCACAGGTGTTTTTATTTCGATCGTCTTGCAGGACCACAACTGCAGATTCAGACTCATTCAGAACCACAAACGTCCTATGAAAGCTCACAGTCCAAAGGGCTGGTGTCAGTTTTGTAAGGGGGTGAAGCGTGGCAGTGACAGCAGATGATACGTCAACATCTCGGCTTGGTCTCGATAAGTGGTCATATCTGGGACTTGAATCTCCAAAAAACCGAATCTCTGGTGCTCAGCCGAGCCCCGGCCCGAGTTGGGGGACAAAGAGTTACGTCAGTTGTGTGCTTGTGCCGCATGGCCTGTAAGGACATTTGATATAGATGTTCCTCCAACCACGGAGCTGGAGTACTTGCTGCTTGGCTGTATCTTCGGTAACTGCATCATACTGCATCTGATTTCCATCGTAGTATAGCATCTAAGAAACACAGGAAATTGAGGCTGGCGTGTTTCTGTCCATTTCTATGCATTCTCAAGTGCCGAATCCTTTCTAGCTCGCGTGTATGTCGCATGCGCGTGGAGGCACGCCAGAATGCAAGCTTGTACCACGAGTCTCCGAGACAGCCACATCAGAAAGCACAGCCGTGACTCAGGCTTCAGGGATGCATCATCGATTGGGTCTATGCAGACAATGAAGACAGAGCGGACATCGTCGACAACACGCAGGCAATCATTGTTAGACTTAGACCAGGTCTCAGCCATGAACTCAATTGTGACCTCCTCTGACTCTGGCCAGGCGCAATGTCCGGGACAGCCGCTGACAGAAACGTGCGCCTGAGTCGTGAGAGCCTGTTGTGGCATCGAATATGGTTTTACGACTCATGTTCGATCCTTTGCTCTTCGAGAAGTGTTTCTCCTTCCGGCTTCGGCCGATGGCTTCAATTGAGTCCTCTAGGCACAATCATCTTCGATCCTAGGTGCCGATTTCACTTGCAGCAGCGGGCTGATTCCTGATCCAGCCAAGCAGGCATGGACTGCGGGCCTGCTTTTGGTGCTACACTTCTATTTCGCGGCATACCTGGCAGGCGGATGTGTGCGGGCCTCCTGGGACCTGCACCGATGCCTTGTGCTGCATGACAAGCCCAAGCCGCTTCCGTCGCCACCGGCAACGAATTCGGCGTCGACGTCGCCGCAGCCGATTCGGCCGATACTACAAATACTCATACGACGGATCAAGGATGCAAACACTCGAAACGGACGAGGATGAGCACGACGAGGCCGGACGATGAGTTGCTGTGGGCGGCTTGTTGAGACTGTGTAGGGCTTGCGGAAATATGTTTGGATTCTATGGTTTTGCGTCACAGCAAAGCGTTAGGCTTGTGTGCGTTGGTAGCTTGCCCACCCCCACTGCTGGCTCTGACAGATTATGTGTTTGCAGAGATTTTGACTTCGACAAGGAGGGTTTAGTTCCGCACTGGCGACAGCAGACGTCGACCCCACCTGAAAGGATGGCAACTTCCAGCAGGTCTACAGCTGCAAGGGCGAAGACTGCGGGGAGGCCCCTCGAACCTGCAGGAGACTCTCAAGATCGAAAGTGAGTTGAGGCCCCTTCCAAGCTTAACAGCGAGCAGCAATGCACGGCAGTTGTCTATTCCCGGCCGTCCAGCTGAGGCCAAGGCGAAGTTCAGTGCAAGACAGGGGTCGTCTAGTGCTCAAGTGCGAAGCTGAGCAACAAGAGCAAGTGTGCAAGTATGTGCAAGTGCAAAAGTGGGACCTGCAGATCTACGCCACAACACTGTTTGCCAGTGCGCCCACAGACCGAGGTCAAGGAGGTGCTCGCGGATGAGCTATGAGATATATGAGGCACAGAGTTCACTGCACAACAGCCTTCATGCCGAGTCGGATCGACGACCAAGTTGTGTTTGCCGAGTTCCGGTGCACGCGTAGAAGTCGAGAAGAATGCACGAAAGCCGGCTCTGATTGCATTGAAAGATGTTCTGGGTGTTTACTTGCATATCTTCGTATCCACCAGCAGCAAGCATACCCGGCCCTTCCCTTTTGCCCGTCTCAGCCGCACGGTGCTTTTTGCTGCAGAATTTCTTGGACAGGGGAGACACATGTACGGCCGCGAACACACACACACACACACACACACACACATGTACCGTAACCCATCATGTGCACTCGTGCATTTCCTTTGAGATCTGTTGAAGGTGTAAGGACAGAGCACGAGGCTTGAGAAGTGCTGAGCCATGCTCGAACTCCTTGCGTTCAGCAGCATGCAGTTTTATCCCAGTGTTTGGGGGTAGTTCGTTGATTTGCAGTCACTGGCAGACGAACTGCTCAACCGGCAATTCTGACCTGCCGGCGATTGGCAAATGCCTCGTTGCCATACACATGTTTCCGGCCAATGTTTGCTTGAAGTGCAGGGCGAACCGGCATCAAGATGCTGCCTTTCATCTAGACAAGACCCTTCGTGAGTTTCTGTGTTTGAATCTGGGCCCGTCTTCGGCATTCTTCGGCAGTCTGTTCCAACTCGGGCGCCCTCAGAAGTAGGCCTCAGAGGTTTGGCTGTTTTGGTTTCGCGCCGCCCTCAGAAGCAGGAGTCGGCACGAGGCGTTCCGGGTCCAATTGTGTCAGAGACGCTAAGTCGCTGCACTTGGGGCCACAAACACGTGGATTGTCACAGCCGGTTCTGTAATGTCTGTATTATTGGAATAGGGCGCCGACACGCTTGTACTTCTTTGACGAGTCTTTCCGAACACTGCCTGCTGCATGTGACAATCCAAGTAACGGAAAAGAAAGGTAGTCAACGGAATCTAAAATGGGCTGCCTGCCGATAGACTGACGGTCAGCTCCAGCTTCTAACGGTCTAACGATCTACACGGCAGAGAGGAAAAAGGTGCTCACATAAGTAAATCCCGTGGTGAGGCTAAAGTAGGCGGACATGTTCGTGATGCCAGTGGGTCCCAATCTTTTCCGGGGTTCCTTCAATGCAGCCCAACAGTGGCTTTTCTCCTTCTGGAGTGCTGTAATTACTCCAACCCCTGGGTGGCCAGGCAGGAGGGTAGTCATGAAGTGCGAAGAGACTTCGAAGGTGGCATGGGGTTGCTATCACATAGTCTCTGCTATGAAGGCAACACGGCAGTTTGGCTCAAGTCCCCGACGATACACCCCTACTGTCTTCTGAGGCTGGACAGAGATCCGAGTTTCAACATTCAAAGGGTAGCAAAGGGTTGCGTTTTTTTCTCATGCAGGGCCTTCGTGATGCAATGACAGCTGTCAAAAGCATCTAGGGCTTCTTCACGGAATCGGCCGCGCTCCTCAGGAGTCACAGATTCGTTTGGAGCACCCTGACAGGAGCGAGATGTTGCGTATTGCGGCTCTCCTCTGGACGCTGGTCTCTGCCGTACCTCAGCAGGCTGAATGGGTAAGCAAAGCTTCGTGGGAAGCTGTGCCATCAGCCAGTCCAGCACTCAGTTTTTGGCCCGTTCTGCCAGGACAGCACGGGCTTGCTCCAGTTCAAGGCCAGCTCGACCGCTGAGCAGGTCCTCTGCGATTCCTGCGAGGCAGCAGATCTGACACTTGGTTTAGCAAGGTTTAGCCATGTCGAGCACGCGAGAGTTTCGGGCTTGGGCGGCTCTGCATTGACTGCGCGGCATTGGGACTTGAGAGAGTCCGTCCCTGGCTCTTCTGGTTCCCAGCAACCTGTTGCCTTTGCGGCTGCAGCCGAGGCAAAACCCTGCTGATTTCGATCAGTGCAATTTCTGGGGCGATCCACACTATACGGCATCTTTGCTGAGAAAGCTTCGGCACGCGTAGTCGCAGCTGCGCCCGTCCGGTGAACGCTCCTGCGAAGGTCCTCCAATGAAAAAGCATCCCACGGTTTCCGTGAAGTCAGTCTTCACTAGCCGGTGCAGACAAACAGATGCAGAACATGTGGCGCTCCTCGCAACATAGGTAACAGCTCGTCGACAAGAAACTAGGATTGGCCAGGACTTGTGTTTGCAAACGTCTCAAACGGGCTTGAAGCAACACTGGTGCATGGCCTCGTGACTACCCGCTGAGGAAACCTGGGGTGGCCTTGGCCGCTTCGACTACCAAGGGCTGGGCGTCCATGACGTTGTGATCAACAATGTGACTTGCGACACCTTCCGCATGCGACTTTGCTTCCATCATGCTGCAGTGGAAACAGACTGGAAGATACATAAGGCAGATGCCGCTGTCGGAAAACAACTAGGATCGGAATGTCAAGCAAACGGCTAGACTAACATGCTTGGCAGTTCCTGCATCAGAAGCTTTCAAAGTGCCCCTCTCTCGAATTATCGGGCTTTAGTGGTTCTTTCCTCAGCTTGCAGCCTCTTTCCCTTTCCCGAACCGCTTAAAGCAGGGCGGTGTAAGACGTGTTTGACCCTTTAGTGTAAAGTTGTTTGTTGTGTGGTGCGCACGGGTGTGAGCAACCTTTTTTATGCAAAAAACTGCAGGGCTGCGAGATGTGCAGCTAGCTCGGTTCGAACGTGAGGCAAGCCTTCCACTGCCAGTACCGAACGTCTCGCGACTCGGCACTTGGAGTTGTGTACTCTCACCGATCTCTGTCCTTTTTGGAAAAGATCCTCAAACGTATCCGCTATGCTAGTTCTAGGGCCCGGGCAAAGCAGCTGCCGGCACCCTTCGCGCCGTCCTTGTAAGTAAAATCTTGAAGCTGTCCTATCCTGTGAGTCCAAGTTCTTGTAGCCCACCGTGCACCACCCGCCACACTGTGCACGAGCATTTTTCGTCACAGGCAATGCAGTGGTTCTGGGCTTCGTTATCGAGGTGAACGGCTCCGTCTCCGGCACTGCACCTCGGGATGCTTTGATAGGGCTTGGCCATATTCAGCTTTGGCTGGAAGGGCCCACCCTTAACAACCAATGCTAGCCAAGGTGTTCGTCAACGACACGTTCGTGGAAGTAAGCGCTGGCTTGGAAAATCTGGTGTCACCCACAGGAGAGCCGACGGGTCATGACACTGGGAAGAAGGGACAAGCGCGGCACGTATGGCAATTCTGTAGCCTTCCTGTCCACAGGTGAAATCTCCACACAGCAGCTGCAGACTCTTGCTCCGCAAGTACTTAAGGCCAACGCTGATGCAACACTGCTACACCTGAGCGGTGCGAAGTCGTTTGCAGGCGAGAGGCCGAACCACTGTACCTTTAACATTACTTCGCAGCTTCAGCGGGGGCTAAGCTGCCACCAGTTTCAGTTGAGCAGCGTATGACAGCGGGCAGTTTCTCTTAGCTTGCGTTGCTATAGACTAAGACTAAGTAGTGATCATAGCAGTTATTATTAATGCTAACATGCCAAGGCTTCAGACAGCTCTGATAATCGCTTCCCCCAAACAATAAACAGACCCCTAAGTATAAAAACACATTTCCCCCGATCCACCCGGAAGTAGCACCGCCCTTTAAACCCTAATTTGAATTAGGGGGAAGGTTTAGGGTCTATAGATTGAGGGTTTGGGGTGGTGGCTTTGGCTGAGTTCTCTGTCTTTTTTCGGCTGCTGCGGTCGGTCTGCAGCTGTGCTGTCTGCGAGTCTGACTGCCAATTGCTGCATTACTGCCAATTACTGCACTACTGGTCATCACTGCACTACTGCCAAGTACTGCACTTGTGCAGGTAGTGCAGTAATGACCAGTAGTGCAGTAATTGGCAGTAGTGCACTCATTGGCAGTAGTGCAGCAATGACCAGGACTGGTCATTACTGCACTACTACCAATTACTGCCCAAATGACGGCGCCTGGAGTTTCTTCAAAACTCCAGATTGGATGGCCGCCTTTCATAAGAACTATCCTTCCATAGCCTAATGGGCAGGGGGAAGTTTTGTGTGAGAGGTAGGAAAAGGCCCCTGGTTCTGGTCCTCGCTGCACTCCTGCCAAGTATTGCACTACTGGTCATTGCTGCACTACTGCCAATTACCACACCACTGCCAATTGCTGCACTACTGCCAACTACCGCACTACTAGTCAATACTGCACTACTGCCAATTTCTGCACTACTGGTCAATACTGCACTACTGCCAATTACTGCACTACTGGTCATCACTGCACTACTGCCAATTGCTGCACTATGGCCAATTGCTGCACTACTGCCAATCACTGCATTACTGGTCATTACTGCACTACTGCCAATTACTGCACTACTGCATATTGCTGTACTACCAATTACTGCACTACGCTAATTGCTGTGGAGGTGTTGTGGAAGTGTTGTGGAAGTGTTGTGGAGGTGTTGTGGAGGTGTTGTGGACGTGTTGTGGAAGTGTTGTGGAAGTGTTGTGGAGGTATTGTGGAGGTATTGTGGAAGTGTTGTGGAAGTGTTGTGGAAGTGTTGTGGAAGTGTTGTGGAAGTGTTGTGGAAGTGTTGTGGAAGTGTTGTGGAAGTGTTGTGGAAGTGTTGTGGAAGTGTTGTGGAAGTGTTGTGGAAGTGTTGTGGAGGTGTTGTGGAAGTGTTGTGGAAGTGTTGCACTACTGGTCACTATTGCACCACTGCCAATTGCTGCACTACTGCCAATTGCTGAATTAGTGCCAATTACTGCACTACTGGTCATCACTGCACTCACCACACCACTGCCAATTACCGCACTACTAGTCAATACTGCACTACTGCCAATTACTGCACTACTGGTCATTACTGCACTACTGCCAATTACTGCACCACTGGTCATCACTGCACTACTGCCAATTGCTGCACTACTGCCAATTGCTGCACTACTGCCAATCACTGCACTACTGCCGATTGCTGCACTACTGCCAATCACTGCACTACTGGTCATTACTGCACTACTGCCAATTACTGCACTACTGCTAATTGCTGTGGAGGTGTTGTGGAAGTGTTGTGGAGGTGTTGTGGAGGTGTTGTGGACGTGTTGTGGACGTGTTGTGGAAGTGTTGTGGAAGTGTTGTGGAGGTGTTGTGGAAGTATTGTGGAAGTGTTGTGGAGGTGTTGTGGAAGTGTTGTGGAAGTGTTGTGGAAGTGTTGTGGAAGTGTTGTGGACGTGTTGTGGAAGTGTTGTGGAAGTGTTGTGGAAGTGTTGTGGAAGTGTCGTGGAAGTGTTGTGGAAGTGTTGTGGAAGTGTTGCACTACTGGTCACTATTGCACCACTGCCAATTGCTGCACTACTGCCAATTGCTGCATTACTGCCAATTACTGCACTACTGGTCATCACTGCACTACTGCCAAGTACTGCAGTTGTGCAGGTAGTGCAGTATTGACCAGTAGTGCAGTAATTGGCAGTAGTGCACTCATTGGCAGTAGTGCAGCAATGACCAGGACTGGTCATTACTGCACTACTGCCAATTACTGCCCAAATGACGGCGCCTGGAGTTCCTTCAAAACTCCAGATTGGATGGCCGCCTTTCATAAGAACTATCCTTCCATAGCCTAATGGGCAGGGGGAAGCTTTGCATGAGAGATAGGGAAAAGGCTCCTGGTTCAATCCCAATGGATGTCGTTTGGGCCCTTTCCCCGCCCGGAATCGGCAATTTGGGGTGACCAAAAGCTCTGGGCACCCTGCGTCGAGAGTACTGCCAATTGCTGCACTACTGCCAATTGCTGCATTGCTGCCAATTACTGCACTACTGGTCCTCGCTGCACCCCTGCCAAGTATTGCACTACTTGTCATTGCTGCACTACTGCCAATTACCACACCACTGCCAATTGCTGCACTACTGCCAATTACCGCACTACTAGTCAATACTGCACTACTGCCAATTACTGCACTACTGGTCATCACTGCACTACTGCCAATTGCTGCACTATGGCCAATTGCTGCACTACTGCCAATCACTGCATTACTGGTCATTACTGCACTACTGCCAATTACTGCACTACTGCATATTGCTGTACTACCAATTACTGCACTACGCTAATTGCTGTGGAGGTGTTGTGGAAGTGTTGTGGAAGTGTTGTGGAGGTGTTGTGGACGTGTTGTGGACGTGTTGTGGAAGTGTTGTGGAAGTGTTGTGGAAGTGTTGTGGAGGTATTGTGGAAGTGTTGTGGAAGTGTTGTGGAAGTGTTGTGGAAGTGTTGTGGAAGTGTTGTGGAAGTGTTGTGGACGTGTTGTGGAAGTGCTGTGGAAGTGTTGTGGAAGTGTTGTGGAAGTGTTGTGGAAGTGTTGTGGAAGTGTTGTGGAGGTGTTGTGGAAGTTGTGGAAGTGTTGTGGGAGTGTTGCACTACTGGTCACTAGTGCACCACTGCCAATTGCTGCACTACTTCCAATTGCTGCATTACTGCCAATTACTGCACTACTGGTCATCACTGCACTGCTGCCAAGTACTACAGTTGTGCAGGTAGTGCAGTATTGACCAGTAGTGCAGTAATTGGCAGTAGTGCACTCATTGGCAGTAGTGCAGCAATGACCAGGACTGGTCATTACTGCACTAATGCCAATTACTGCCCAAATGACGGCGCCGGGAGTTTCTTCAAAACTCCAGATTGGATGGCCGCCTTTCATAAGAACTATCCTTCCATAGCCTATAATGGGCAGGAAAAAGCTTTGTGTGAGAGGTAGGAAAAAGGCCCCTGGTTCAACCCCGCAAAGTGTCATTTGGGCCCTTTCCCCACCCGGAATCGAGATTTTGGGGTGACCAAAAGCTCTGGGCACCCTGCGTCGAGAGTACTGCCAATTGCTGCACTACTGCCAATTGCTGCATTGCTGCCAATTACTGCACTACTGGTCCTCGCTGCACTCCTGCCAAGTATTGCACTACTGGTCATTGCTGCACTACTGCCAATTACCACACCACTGCCAATTGCTGCACTACTGCCAATTACCGCACTACTAGTCAATACTGCACTACTGCCAACTACTGCACTACTGGTCATTACTGCACTACTGCCAATTACTGCACTACTGGTCATCACTGCACTACTGCCAATTGCTGCACTACTGCCAATTGCTGCACTACTGCCAATCACTGCATTACTGGTCATTACTGCACTACTGCCAATTACTGCACTACTGCTACTGCTAATATTGCTGTGGAGGTGTTGTGGAAGTGTTGCGGAAGTGTTGTGGAGGTGTTGTGGAGGTGTTGTGGACGTGTTGTGGAAGTGTTGTGGAAGTGTTGTGGAGGTGTTGTGGAGGTAGTGTGGACGTGTTGTGGAAGTGTTGTGGAAGTGTTGTGGAAGTGTTGTGGAAGTGTTGTGGAAGTGTTGTGGAAGTGTTGTGGAGGTGTTGTGGAAGTGTTGTGGAAGTGTTGCAGTACTGGTCACTGTTGCACTACTGCCAATTTCTGCACTACTGCCAATTGCTGCATTACTGCCAATTACTGCACTACTGGTCATCACTGCACTACTGCCAAGTACTGCACTAGTGCAAGTGGTGCAGTAATGACCAGTAGTGCAGTACTTGGCAGTGGTGCAGTGTAGTTTTGGAGTCTCTGGGTTCATGGGTGGGGTAAAACTAGGTATAACCAGGATGTGAGATAACAACAGCCCCCTAATTATAAAAACATTCTCGAGTTTTTATTTAGGGCGGGGGGGGGGGGGGGCCCGACCATTTAATGTTAGGGGGAAGGGATTAATGTGGGACTGAGAACCACGCCATGTCTTTGTGTATTCTACAGGTGTCAGGCTATGCGTGGGTTGACAAAGTCTCAAGAAATGTGGTGTTTTCCGCTTCACAAGGAGCGGTGGAATCAATGTGCAGACCGGCGATCGCTGCAACTTCGTCCCTGTCCCAGAACACCAGGGAAAAAATGGAGTCACCCCATGCGAGTTCCTCCTGGACCATGCAAACACAGGGGTGCCGGTCCGTAGATTCTACCTACTTGTGGCTCATAGGAAGCGCCTGCACATGCGGATTTTCGGTGGCTCATGTCTCCTGAAGGTCAACATCAACGGAAAGCCTATCAACTTCAAGCCCGGCTACCTGCTCAACGCCAAGGTGTGGGGACCACGGAAGAGGGGGAAGCCCGGCTACCGATCCATCAGTCGACCAATCTTGTTGGAGCTGCGAGCTTGATGCTTACTGTTTTCTGAAAGCCCTTCATCGGCTCATATAGAAAATTATCCGGAGGGATATGTTTCGATGCGGAAGCTGTGCATACAGGAAAGCTTTATACACTGATTGCGCGCTGGCAGCGGCTAGTACGTGTCACAGTGTATGCGACTCGCACTAGCAATACCAAGACGGAGCAGTGAGTATGAATGGCTTTGCGGTGATGATGGACCTGTCCGGCCAAAGACAATGACCTGCAATAGCAAGAACATAAGTGCAAGGAGCACATTGGCACATTCGCTTTCGGCTGAAACATCGCTCTGAGCCAGGCGGCTCAGGCATCAGCTTTGATGCAGCCCATAACGGATGCGGGTTGATTTACAGCTCCGGTTCTTTAGGTGTTTCGTTTTTGTGGCCTCTGGATTTTCTGGTTTCTCCTCATCGCGCCGTTTGCCTGGCTTTGGTTGTAAGCTTTGTTATCACCGGCATAGCCGGCAATACCCGTAGGCACTGCAGGCGGTGATGTGCGACTGTTACCAGCCAACGTCGTAGTCGGAACTGCGGCAGGTATCGACAAAACTGCTGCTCTCCTTTTGATCGCCAGGTGAGATCACGCGTGGGCGTGACGCAAAATGCAGGTGTTTGCGGTTCCCCACAGCTGTTCCCTACTTTCGTGAGCGCCACTCAGCTGCGTTTGCAAGTCCTCCAGAGCCTCGGTGGGCCAGAACCTCACAGGGCCGCCCGACCGCGCTCCGGACTCGGGATCATCCGTTGTTCCCGAATCTAGCACTAGCAGCAACGGCGACGGAGCAGCTCGCTGACTGACCACCCACAGCTAAAGTGCACCTACCTGCTGGATCTGTGGCTCCAAGGACAACACCAGCTTCCTGTTCACGACCGAGCAGATCGAGCAGATGTGTGAACAGTGCAGCAGCTCCTGAGTCGTTCTTTTATCAGGTTTTCCAGCTTTCTTCAGTGCCAAGCTCCAAAGGTTCAGCTCGAACGCCCCTCACGACAGCAGCTGTTGACGGCCTCTTATCAGGCCCAGCTTGAGGCCTCTATATTCTTGGTTCGGCCTGTTCCCTTCCCTCCCCTCTCGTCCCCGTGAACTTTCATGTGGCTTCCAACCTCCCTCTCGTGGCTTTGGAGACAGTGTGGGTGGCAGGGTGACCGCCTATCTTCCTACCCTCTGTGGTGGCTGTGGAGGCCCTGTTTCGGAAGGTTTGCAAGCCTGTGTTGGGGGGGGAGCGGGGGAAGTAAACCCGGAGCCCTGATCAATGTTTGCAAGTCATCCATGCGACCCAAGGTTTTGGTGGGTTAATCTCGCCGGCTTGTCCTGGTTTCGTGCCACCTCAACCACCGGGAATCTCCAACGAGCTGACCGAGGACACTTGGCCTCTTTGAAGTTCCCAAAAAGGCATGGCCATGTGCCCCAGGAATGCGAGTGGGCAGCTGATCCCATCGAAATGCAAAATGCTGGCTCTGGGCTGCTGGTCAGACTTGTTGAGGCCTTGCGTGTTGGGTGCATGGACAAGGATTCCGGGATCCGTCTCTTGTAGGTGAACCGTCAGCTGACCAGAAAATGAGATGTAGTGCGATGCGGAGCTGGAGGGATCTCGGAGACTGCGCAAAAAGATGACTTCCGAAAGCGCAACTGCAACTGAGGCCCGACATCATTCAGTTCTGTGGGCCGGACACACCCATTGCGGCCAACTTCTCGTTTCCCGGGCCTAACCAATGCATCTTCAAAGTCGTGACCTGGACTTTTTCAGCACACCAATTAGCCACGCAATTTGATTTCCATCGGCCGGCGTAAGTCAAAGAGCGACGCTGCGCAACTAAGAACGGCGGCAACGGAAATAACTGCGATGACATTTGCGGACTCCTTGGCACGACCTGCAGCAACATGCCCGGCCGTGTCGATTCAAGCGGAAGCACCCAATGTGCCACTTGCCGAATTCAGACTCAGAGCTTTTGCAAGAGCACAGCAGCGCTAGGAATCATGTGCTGAAGACCGCAGGTGGCAGGCGACAATGCTGGACCCGGCCCGTGCAACGACCCGAGCCCAGGGCTCAATTCATTCTCCTGCGTTTGCGACATTCCGGATATTCCGTTTCCGGGCGATGACATCAACGATGCAGAGGAGGCGGGTCAAGCGTCAGACAAGGACCTCCTTTCGGGCAACACTCAGTCTTCTGTTGTCGGACCGCAGCGGGACGGTGGGCCTAGGCAGAGAAGAGAAGCCGTCGAGACAATAGCTGCGACACTACCCAGAAATCGAGCTTCAAACCCTGGAGGTCGCCAACAACGATCCGAACATCTCCTTCCAGGACGGGGCACTCGAAACATGTCGCGATTCTGCGCACACGGGGTTCAAAGGTCAAGGCTGATGTCTACTGATTGCGGATGTCCGGCATAGGCAGCTGAGACACCTCGGAGAAATCCCCGCTCCACTGTTGCAATTGCCGCAAGATTTGTAGCTGCTCATGTCGCTTCTGGACTGGTGGGTGCCGGACAGAGCGAAGAGGCTCAGCCGATTGCGTTTCCAGATTCCCATTGTAGAATTCTTCACGTGCTCACATGCGAAGCTGCAGCCGACGAATGGCCAAGCTGCTAAGCATATAGTTTTTGTGTGTGGACGCTGGTCATCACTCCGCCGATCGCAATAAGCCGTGTTACATGGAACCGTACAATGTAAAATGCAGAGTCTACAGCTGATGCAGGAGGCTATCGACAATTGTACGGTCGGGTGTTTGGCGAACTTGTGGCTTGGGAGCAGCAAGTCGGAGGGAGATCATGGGAATCTGCAGTGCTGCACACGGGCTTGAGCCGATCGGACTACATTCTCAAGGATTACGGCAGAGGCTTGAGATGATCTCTTTCCACAAGGAAGGCAGACGTTGTCGGTGTTAGCTCACAGTCAGCCGGATTGCCTAAGTTAAGGACGTTTGACATCAATGTACCTCCACAAACCGAGCTGGAGTACTTGCCGCTTGGCCAACTCATGACTGCATCTGACATACGCAGTGACATAGGGTACTTAACCTAGGATCCACAGGCAGGTGAGTTTGGCAAATGTGTCCCCGGAGCTACGGCTATACATTCCCCAATATCAGATCCACGGATTCTGAGTTGATCTTTTCAGTGCGCATACGCAGACAGGACGGAGGAAGCAATGTGAAGCTTCGGCCAAAAGCACGCAGAGGCGCATCGACTGAGGCTACGGGGCTGCATCATCGATTGGGTCTATGCAGACAATGAAGACAGAGCGGACATCGTCGACAACACGCAGGCCATCCCAGCTGCTCCAGCCTGAATCAGACTGAGTCATGCAGAACCCGGCTTTATCTTTACATTGAAGTTAGACCAGTTGTCATGAGCATGTGCCAGAGCGCGAGATCCCCTGCTGGCTAGGAGCAATGTCCGGGCCTGGCATTAACAGAAACATGCGCCTGAGTCCAGAATGGCACGGCTTGTTCCACTTTTGGAATATCAGGGCCTGTTATGGCCTGTTTACAGTTCCATTAAGTTCCGGCCCCAGGTGCCGAGTTCACTTGCAACGGTACCGGGCTGATCCCTGACCCAGCCAAGCAGGCAGGGACTAGACGGCAGCCTTCTTCTGTTTCAGCTCAGTGTTGGGTTGCGCTCCCGCTCCAGCCACTCTAAGCAAAGCGGTTTTTTGTGTTCCTGCACAACCAGAAGCAGCCCGCATGCCCATGCATCTAGGCAAATGCAGCCGAAGCGGCCTTTTCCACAAGAATCGTGCTTGGCAGGCAGTTGTGTGTGGCCCTCCCGGGACATGCACCAACGCATTTTGCTGCCTTCAAACCTGCGAAGGGTGTCTTGGTTTTGAGACGAGCCGGAAAGTAACGGATCTGGGTCCGTGAAGGGATCCCTGCACCCTTCAATATCACCTAGAATAAGCTCCACCCGTCTATCATGTGCTCGCTTGACGGTGACATGCAGAGTTCAGTGGTCCCTTGACTGAAGACGGCGAGTGCAACAGGTTCATATGCACCTCGGGGACGCCCGCACCAAACTCTACTCTGTGCAACGGTGGTGCGGGGCCTTGCAATGAGACCGAATGCTGCATCGAGACGACTACAACTGCTGCACCCACCACAACCACAGCTGCACCCACCACAACGACTACTCCCGCACCAACCACAACCACTGCTGAACCCACCACAACGACTACTCCCGCGCCAACCACAACTACTGCTGCAGCCACCACAACGGCTATCGTGCCGACCACAACGACCACGACTCCCGGAAAGCCACTTGTCTGCATTATGCAGCTGTTGGGAATAGCTGAACAGCTGTTTCTGTGTAGATGAGCTGTTCGGACTGCTCACAGTTACACGCTTGGAAAAGCAGTCACGCAGCTCGGAGCCTGGCATTGCAGGGCGGGGCAAGGGGCAGATGGGAGGGACTGCACGGGACGAATTGCACCATCACCAGTCACAGCTTGACATATGTCAACAGTCTGTGAAGCTGTCCCATGCCGCACTCACTATTTAAGTTACCCGCAATCGGTGACAAGTGGTGCAGTCAGCTCCGTGTGCAATCGCTGAGCTAACACGCTGCCAGACGTGTTAGATGTGGCCCGGCCTCACTTGTAGCATCGGTCACGAACTTACTGCACCACCACGGCCAAGACCTCTTCCTACTGTACGAGATTTGTTCTTCCACCTTGTCACGAAGTCGGCCATGCACAAGATACCACCACCACCACAGTCGAGACCAACCTGAGAGGAGTCAGCTGAAGAATCGCGCCCTCGATGAGAAAAAGAAATCGGTTGCACCCGCTCTAACCACACGTGGTCTGGTAGCCTGGCATAGGTCGCTTGTGACTACACTGGTGGTATTCTGATTGTTCTAACTATGCACCTAGGCTTAAGCTCCGGTCGGTCTGCCATAGGCCACAGATCCTTGCCAGCCCACGGCACCGGCGACTGCCAAGCAAGCTCACCAACTGCCCCTGCACCTTCTGCATCCACTGTTGGACCTGTGGCCCAGCAAGAGTTTAGGCAAACTCCGGCGCAGCACCATGTAGCAACTGAGTAGTCGTAATGTCCATGTCCGTCGGCGATCCCAGGCCGTTGAGGGTGAAGCAACCAAATACCAATGCAAGATGTCTCCATCTTTTGTGCAATGCGACTGATGAGCCATCAGGAAGCCATACTACTCGCCGTACAAGCCCTTCCGTCGCCACCGCCGCTTTCACCGGTTTCGTCGAATTCGCCGCCGCCGCCATCCCTCCTACTACGACTACTCAGCCTACGGCGCTAACAAATCACTCATGCAATCCGGCACCCCGGACGAGGATGAGCATGAGGAGGCAAGAAGATGAGAAGCCGCGCGCAGATTGTTGCTTCAAACGGGACTCTAGGAGTTCTGCTTCGTCTAGTTTGATACATAAGGCCCCAAGGCAAAAGCTTGTGCTGAAGGGAAGCATGTCCCGGCAAACCTTTTCTGAGAAATTTAGGCCTGTACCGGGGCTTCAAGGATGCGAAATAGAACAGCCCTATCCGGGAAGGATGGCAACTTCAAGCAGATGTACAGCTGCAAGGGCGAAGCTGGCTGCGAAGAGGCCGAGCAAAGCGTCGCAGCTGCGTTCTTGGACAGGCGATGATTTTGTCCTTTCGTTGTATGTCAAGGCGAAGTTCAAATCAAGACACGGATCATCAAGTGCTCAAGTCAGAGACTGAGAAGTTTCGTCGCGGTCTGCATGAGGGCAATTACAAACACCAGCTGAAGCACTCCACGGCACGATGTGTACACCGCTGTACACGCCCAAGGTCAAGGATGTGCTTCGGGATGAGCTATGAGGCACAAAGACCCCTGCAGTTCGCACTGCATTTGCGAGTGCTTTTGAGGGATGTCCATTTCTAGAAACCTGGCGAATCCCAAGCCCGAAGGGAGCTGCACGTGCATGAGCTTGCACATGTACAATAAAGCACATGACTGCAGAGCGTAATGTCTGCAGATCTTGCTGCATGTATTGAGCACGTGTGCATGTCTGTGTACCGTGTACATGTGCACGAGTCTATGTCTATATGACTGAACATTCATGGATGTGCTTTTGCTCATGTTTACCGTCATGTAACATGTATGCAGGATTTTTGCTGGCACCATTCGTCACCACCGAGCCGCGAGAACTGCGTGGAATTTCGGGTTAGCACTGTTCTTATAGACCTTAGGTCGACACCCACTGGCAGCCCCGCACAGCTCTACACATGCGTGGCAAGTGTGCCCCAAGACACAATTTCGCAACGATTGCATGACCCCTAAGCACGACCTTAACCATCAGCAGTGTGTGATGCATCCTGTTTTCTCCAACGCATCTACAATGCAAACTCGCTGGTGAGGAGACGCATGCCAAGATTGCACGCGCGCACTCACACAGACGCACACTGACAGACGAACATGTTGCCAGCGAGCTACGGGAGCCTCACTAAACTACCAGGAGGTCACTCGAGAGCTGTTGGGAATTCTGAGGCAAGTCCGGGCGCAGCTCCAGCCCAGTGCAAATGCGGTTGTTACAATCTGGTGAGTATAGTCTTTCAACTTGCTTCACCTGCAGGTAGACTTGCCTGACTCGCTCGACGGGCAATTCTGAACAGCCAAACTTTTGGCCAACGACTGGCGAACATGCCTCGTCGTTGTCCCATATACTCCGTCATTCTGTATAGAGCATGCCGAATTCGTGCCAAGTTTCGCATTGGCAATTGATTGACAAGACCTTCTAGTCAGCGTTTCGAGCCATCAGTTGTTGCACCCTGTCAGATGAGCCCGCATGCCGGCACTACGACCGACACACACTTGGGCGATCGCGGGCGGATTGAAGGAACAGTGTGGAGATCATGCTTGCATATGCTTCCGTGTACGTGCTAAAGAACTCTTTTGCCGCGCGTGGCAATCCAAGAAGGGCCAAAGGAAGTCGACGGGGTATGGTCGACAGGTCAAACTCGACCCAGGCGGCCATGCAAGATGGAGGAAAAGAGGTTCGACAGACAAGGCTCCTGAGGGTATGCTTTCGAGGTTCGTTTGGACTGCCAGGACATGCATGACCCCAACTTTTTGCTGTCGAGCTTCTCGCAGAGGGATGTTCCGCACAGCTTTGATGACCCCCTCTCCCTGTATTAGCTCAAGACAAGGTTTCGTCCTAAAGACAAACCCAAGAAGTAGCACCAGGAACTGAGATCGGAATTAGGAATTTGGGCCCAAGAGCAGCCAGTCATCTGTGTCAGAAACCGAACTTTAATGCATAGAATAGGGTTTTGGGGCCCGTTATAACTTATAATAAGCAACCCCCAGAATGGTATTGTGCGGGGAAGGGGGGGGCACCACTCGAGTTCGAGGTCGGGACCAGGTCTCCAGCCCAGCCGAATCAGAATTTGGCTGTGGATGCAAGACTCTAATCTAACAAGTCTGCTTCACAAAGAAATGCAAGAATCTAAGCTTTTTCCAATTCCAATATAGGTGAGTAATATGATTGAAGCATGTTAATGACTAAGTCTGGGCCGTATCTTTACATGACAGCAAGGACCAGTACCCCACATCTATCTATTTGGCCCAGTAGCAGCGCGGAAGCCATCTCGGCCGTGGCCGTGGCTGCGAGAACTGCTCTGCGAGCGCCAAATTTCCGAAACAGAGGCACAAAAAAGCAAGAGAAATAACACAACAAATGAGTTTCGAGCACCAAAAAAATCTATTCGGGCTGGCACAAATCCGACGCCGAGCTTACGTTCTAGCCCGCACCAAGGATCAGTCAGCACAAACATGCCACAAACTCATGCGCACAAGCAGAAGTTTTTGCACCAAACACACACACACACACACGAGAAGCACAAGCTCCCAGAAGTTTCAGCACCAGAAAAGCGCAAGAAGAAAGCAGAAGTCCCCAAACACGAGCAGAAGCTTTGGCGCCAGCAAAGCACAAGAGGAAAGCGGCAGCCCCCGAACACGAGCAGAAGTTTTGGCACCAGAAAATTTCATAAAAAGAGAAGAAGTTGTAGCACCATAAAAGCACACCAAGAACTCAGCACAAACTCAGACACACAAGCGGAAGTCCTGACACAGAAAAGCATGAGCACAAAGCACAAACTGCCAACACACAAGCAGAAGCTATTTTTGCACCAGAGAAGCGCGCACACACACACAGCACAAGCCGAAGTGATAGAATCAGAAAGCACGCAAGTAAAAGCACACACAACAGGTTTGGGTCGTTTGTGTTTGGTCAGAACAGCCAGTGGACTCCCTCTCCAGTCCTGAACTCCTGAAGAGCTGGGCTTGTGATGACCGGCCCGGGCCAGGACACGGCTCAGGCCAGGAAGCATCTCCTTGTATTGATTGTGCTTGCAATTTTGCCTTCAAAGGTCCGTACAGCTTGCCGATGTTATGCGGGTGTGCTGGGTGTGCTGTTTTGGGGCCCTGGTGGCTGCTAGGGTCTGTCTGGGTTGTCTGTTGGTGGCTGGGGGGGGGCTGCTGGGGTTTGTTTTGGCTGGCAAGGGGCGGTATGTGCACAGATGCACCGCGATTTTCTGTTCTGTTTTACTCAGCATGTGTGCTTCTTGGCCTGTTCGCATTCGAGAAGTTCTGAGGATGCAGTCTGCAGCACAGACATATGAGACATGTAGCATAGACATAGGTCGCCGAAGCATTCTGTGCCTGCCTGCTCTTCGCTATGCATAGATGGCCCAAGCCCATGCCGCCCTGTTTGATTGAAGGATTTAGGCCTGAAGTGGCTGGCAGCCTAGAACAAGAGTTACAGCCTTTGACAGCTACGCTGCCACAAGCACTCCAAAGCACCCTCGGCCCTGTCACTGCTTGATGAGCCTGTGGCAACAGTGCAGAATCCCAACAGCAAGAAAACACTGAAAGCATACACAGAAGCTTGACAACTTCACGGAACGTGCATTGGCCTGCCCGTGGTCACCGATGCATACAACCAGCGTGCTGGTGGGAACCTCGGGTCAAAACGTTACAGAAACGGAGAGTGAAGATCAGTTGGCTGTTCGGCATTGCGTCAGTAAATGGCTGCTTCGGCGTGGATGTATACTTGCAGCAAGAGAATTGTGTGTTTCAAGGCAGTGGTAGTAGGTGCACTGAGTGCACGGGCTTCGTGATACGGTAACAATGGTAACAGGTAGGGAAGGTCGGCCAGGATATCTTCAATCTCGAGTCAGAGGTAGCCGAGTGCCAACGATGATCACTTCTAACGTGCCACTTGTGCATTATGCAGCGTTTGCAACAACGAGCAGCCCGTCACATCACCAGAGATGGAATGCCCACAGCATGCAGAGAAGACTTTGTTTGTGTCTCTAATGGAGCCTCAGCCGATTCACAAACCTCAGACGTCAGAGACTTAGACCCGGGGGACCTCGGCAGATGAAGCATGGCCTTCGCCGCGCGTCGCGGAAGCCGCTTGGAGCTTCCCCCAATGGACGGAACGCGTGCACGGGCGCGATCCACGCCCCGAGCCTTGAGCGTGGGCTCCCTGAGCCACTCGGGATAGAAAGTTTCGTTGACAAGTTCACGTACATGGCACCAGCCCGTTGCTGCCGTTAGGCGCACGGGGAGCTGCGGCGGAAAGCGGATGTCGTCTACTTGAGCTAACCTATACAGTAAACACTGTCTCGAAAGCTGATGTTGTACTTAGTTCTCTTCCGACCCTCGCTGTTCTTGGTCATTCGTTGGTTTTCCATTGCACAGGCACCAACGCTCGTTGCTTGTCACATCAGTGCCTTTCCGTGCTAGCGCAAAACCGGGACAATCTCGACATCAGTGTCTATGAACAGAGGACTATGGAGTGCTAAAACAAATAGCATGATATAGCATGTATTGGTTTGTGAGTGCCTGCTTCGGGACCGCGTCGTCTGGATAACTGCCACAGCAACCCCGCCAAAGATTCCCTCTTGTGTGTGTGTGGGCACAGGCAAACAGGTCGGGAGTCGCTTCGAGTTTGCCAAGTGTTCGATCTTGCCAAGTGTGCTTCCGCTGGCATCAAGCCATGAGGACTCGGTTGATGTTGGTTTCTTTGTGTGTTCTGTTTCCTGACGTTCACGAGGAGACACGAATCAGGAATCGACGGTTCATATCTGCTGCCTGTGTTGTAACGGCAACAAGACTGTAATCGAGCCTCTTCTGGCCACACCACCAGAGGCCTCAGGTGCGCCTGGCCCCCGCTCATCGGCAGGTTCATTGGGTACTTGGCATCGCCGTGGCGTGCAAAATCGCTGCGGACCGATGTTGCCACCACGACAAATCGCCATGCCGTGGCGCTTCGAAGTCGCACGGATTCAGTAGGTTTCCACGGCTCGCTAGAGCAGGCCGGCAGCTTTGCAGCAAACGCCAGAACAGATTGTCGCTACACCCCCGGACTGACTGCTGGTGGAGATCCGCCGAATTGGGCCCGCCGTTTGTCACCGACTCGAGAAGCATTCCGATCCGTATTCCAAACCGTATTTTCCTTGTGTTTTGGGCCTGAACTTGCGCCTGGGCCTCTGGCACTGTATTCCGACCGGTATCCCTACTCGAATTCCGACCCGTATTCGTATTAAAGTGTGTTAAAGTCGTATCTGGAACCGAACCGTATTATGGCCGTACGACCGTATCTGCAAATCGTATTCAATAATTCTAAGCCTGTTCGGAAATTCTAGGCCGGAGTGCCCAAGCAACAAACGAACTCTTGGTCCTAGTCCCGGAAGCATAAGTAGCAGTCGCAATCTTCGTGTTGGTCGAGGCAAAAGCAGTGGCAAGCTACAATCAGTGTCATCCTCGAGATTCCTCGAGCATTTATTGTCGCAAGTGTTTTGCAAGCGTATGC